TTTTGTAATTTTAATTATTTTAATATCGCTCAGATTTCTTTAACATAAGGCCACTTGATAGAGTTTGCCTCTTGGTGGCTTTGGTACGTACTCTTGGACTGAGGATCTCCATGTAAGAGAGTGGATGTAGTATAGTTTTATTTGAGCTTGAAACTGAATCTAAGCAAGGTAGCGTGGGGCTCAAGGAGAGGCACGCGGTACAAATGGCCAGCGTAGCTGCTACTCACGGGATCCCTGGGTGGGGGAAGGTCAGAAGCAGGCCAGGTAGACGGGCGGTCACCTTTCCACCGTCCTCTTCTTTCCCAAAGGCATCTTCTTGGGAGCCTCTTTCCGAGGCTGTTATTTGAATGCTTGCTTGATTGTCCATGTCTCGAGAGCATCCCCGCTTTGTTTAACTTGCTATCCCCCATTCGTTTTGACACTGCCGTTTATCACAGGTTCAAATTCAACTTCCAGGGTAAGCTCATTAACACATTCAATACTTCTGTTGTATAACGATACTTGTGGCTTACACCCGTGACTGGTGGTAATGCATACTTCCTAAAAAAACCCACGTGCTCTGTCTGCAGTTACTGCTTTAGCATCTTCAGTCTTTATCAAAAACTGTGGTGGAAGTTCACAAGCTGGCCCTTTATTAGGCTTAAAGCTTACTCCCAGTGGGGTTGGGCTGTAGTTAGCTGACATACAATTAAGTAGTAACTTAGATCCTAGCCTCCTTGGTTATTGCACTATTAAATGTAGAATTACCTCATGGAGCCAAAGAAAGGAAATATTCCTTTATCAGCCAGGAAACTAATTTTAATGCCTAGTTATACATCTGGGACAATTGTTACTGGTATTTTTACCTTGGCAGGTGCACGAGTACATTGTGCCCCAGTACTTCTGCCTCCAGTGTAGAGCTGCAGCAGCATCTTTTTATCCCGGCCCTTTGCTGCAGCCCTCTCTGCTAGGTCACAGCGGAGCTCGGGGAGGCTGTGCAGGGCTGCAGGACGGGGGAGAGTTGTGGGTGTCTGAGAGCGGCGGCAGGGAACGTAGTAACCTTTCTTAGCCCTTTCACTGGCCACACATTGCACCTCTTCCCACAGATTCAAATGTGTATTGCTGCAATGCTAGAGCAGGGCTCTCCAACTTCCGTACATCATGGTAACAGCATTAATGGAGACCACGGGCCCCCAGATTGCATGCCCCACATGCATTGGGTGAGTGCTCTCTCCTGATGCATCGCATGGGTGCATGGGTGGGTGGTCCCCTGCATACCACCCTGCCTCACCTGCATCTCCCGGTGGGCTTCCCTGCGGCATCGTGCCACATGCATGCTCCGGACTGCCGGCTTCCCTGACTACAAGCTGTGCTGTGCAGTTCCTCGCTGCCCCATGCTGTGGGCAGGGGCATGCAGCAGAAGCCCGGGGAGGAAAGGGTAGCCCCAAGACCCGGGCTGCTGCTGCAGTAGGGGCAGTGGGAGCCTGGGGCCACGTGCAGCCCGTGGGCCACCAGTTGGATGGTCCTATGCTAGAGCATGCTCTAAAAACAGAGCGATAAGGACTGCCCCTACCCTGGAGAGTTTGTGAACTTAAAATGGCATTTTGGCTTTTGTTTAATTTCACACTATTGACTCTCAGTGTTTGACAGTCTGCCTTCTCCCTTGGCCCCAAACTTGCATGAGGACAAGGCTACTGAAGATGAAGAACAAACCTTGTCCTGGCCCTAACCTGGCAGGGTACAACGCCCTTTCTCTGCTGGGACAGTTGTGCTGAATCCATGGCAAGTTTTGCATATTAGCTGCTGCCTCCGTGGGGTGTGTATAATGGTGTCAGAGATCCTTATCCTTGGACATGGAGCAGGTGCATCTATTCCTGGGACACCAACTGGGGATGGCGGGGGAGAACAAGCTCAGACAATACAGAGTTTGCATCCACATTTCTTATATATTTGCTTCTATTTTATTTAGCCAATGATTTATAAAAGGCTTATGTAATTTGTGGCACCGCATACAAAACTCAAATTGCCCTGCAGTTCTCCTCCAGGATGAGACTGGCCTAGCTTAGTATATTTGTTTTGAGACAGGCTAAGAGGAAATTTCTGTGCTTTTCTGCAGCCCTAGCATACCACAAATCAGAGCATTTTAAGTCTTCACTGAGACTTCATTAACAGGCTTACAAGTGTCTCCAGTCACCAGTGATCTGCCCTAAATAATGACCTGCCTTAAACGCTTGACTTCCCCCATAGATCTAATTAGAAGTTGTTTCCTAGAATAATAAAAGCATATATCGGCATATAGTCCACCTCCTAGCATTTACAAGTGATTTTTTTTTTTGGCTCTATCTTGTCTCTTTACAGATGCACATACATCTAGGACATTTTTATATGTGCTCTGGGTGGGGGGGAAGGAGTGCTTTAATGAATGTGGCTCCAAAAGCCGCTCTAATTCAAGCGCCCAGAGCCTCTCATGTATTAGCATCCCTGTGCCATTTTGAAGAGTGGCTCCACATGCTTGTTGAGCGATTTTTAATTAAAGTTCCCCCGCCACCACTTTGAAGCGTGGGGATGCTGATACATGAGAGGCGGAGGCTGGCTGGAGCGCAGTAATTACCACACTCCCGCAGACTCAATGAATCGAGTCTCCTCCAACACACTGTACTTACAGTGGAGCAGCATCCTGGCTCATGTACAGTCACCCTTAATGACTTAAGTCCTCCCATTTAAAACTCCTCCTCATGGCCAGCTCAGGAAATCCCCATGATGTAATACTGATTTTTTGGGGTTTTTTAATTAAAAAAGATGAGCTTTTGCACAGGGTAGAGGGTGGTTGTTGGTTGAGTTTGTGCAACCTATAGACACGTCATGAAAGTTCCTCCCAGTTAGCTCTGTCAGTGCATCTGTTGCTAATTGGCAATACCTCTGACATTTCAGCTGACTGAAGGTCATTGAGTGGCCTGTAGTTACCCGGGTCCTCCCTCCTGCCCTTCGTGTGGATGGGTGCAACACTGGCCCTCTTCCAGTCCTCAGGGACTTCTCCAGAGCGTCACGAGTTGTGGCAGAGTTTCACCAAGGGGTCCTCAATGACTTCGGCCAGCTCCTTCAGCACTCTTGGATGAAGATCGTCTGGTCCCACTGACCTGTACATGTCTAATATTTTTAATTGATCACACAGCGATTCTATGGCAATAGTAGGAAGGCAGTTATTCCTGCCGTGCTCATCCTGTACTCCACCTGGCGCTGTTTTCCTCTTGGTCCAGTGAAAGACCGAGGCGAAGCAGTCATTCAGGAGTTCAGCTTGCTCCTGGGTGCTGGTAACCAGCTCTCCTGTGTTGTTGAGCAATGGCCCCACACTCCCATGTTTTCCTCCTGTTCCCCATGTACCTAAAGAAGGACTTCTTGTTGTCCGTGATTTCTGTTGCTAATCTAAGCTTGGTCGCCACTTTAGCCTTTCTTGTCTGTTCCCTGCAAATGCGGCCATCCTGGTATAGTCCTCCTTGGGGCCTGCCCGAGCTTCCCTTGTTTGTACGCCTCTTCCTTCTTTCTTAAGAGGACCGGGATTTCCCTGTTTAGCCAAGAGGGCTTCCCAGCTCTTCCGTTACCTTTTCTCTGCATGGGAATGGACTTCCTCTGTGCTTCCCTACTTGTTGACTGAAAAATGTATGCCCCAAGGAACTTATGCTCTAAATCAGACACATGGGCTGTTTGCACATGTGCGGGAAGCGGGGTGGAACGGCACTTTACTTTAAACTCCACGCACTCCTGTGTTAAGCCCGGCACAGGCCTAGAAGAAGCATCGCATTAGTTGGAGTTGGCTTTCCCAATGTCTGTATAGATCAGACGCATTAGTGGGGCTTTTTGGCACTTTCTTCTTATTGCTGATTGAATCAGCTATTAGAGAAAAGTGCTAAAAGGCCCTGGTGAAGTGCCTGAGCTATATAGATCTGTAGAGCTGGGTTGAAGTAATGAATGGCTGCTTCCAGTAAAATGTGTTTTTTGTTTTGTTTTTTCCCCACATCCATCAGCACCCATACAGCTCAGGCAGCAGGACTTTCAACTTATTTAAATTGGCCTCTGCTCAGTGGAAGGAAAAGGGCAACTATATATTAAGGCAGTACCAAATCCATTCTCTGGTGAAATATCCATCAACGTTGGTAGAGCTTGGGTAAGGCTTTGGCCCAGTTTTTACCCTGCCAGTGCCAGGTTTGTTGCTGATAGCTGACAGCCTAGTTTATATGTGAAACAGGCTTTGAGTGAGAGCAGGGAATGAAAAGCATAGTGCAAGAGGGATGCTGAGATCCTAGTACTTAGCTCTGTAGTGTCCCTGCCTTGCTGCTTATTTGGTGCATGGCCTGTCATTGGTTTAATGTAGGCCACACGTGCATGAAGTTCAGACTGCTGCCCTGCCGGCACTGATTAGCTGCCTTGGCAAATAGAGCCAAGTCAGTACAAGTAACTGGAAACTGGAGCATTTTGAAAGCGTCCCAAGTCCTGTAACAGCCCAGCCCACTTCTGTAATGCTGTCTGTAGACACTGCTCTTAATTAGGGCACTCACTGAGCACATTTGCACTGATTTTGAGCACTGATAATTCTGCAATGAAATGTAACCTTCATATGCACAGGGGAAAGTCTAGAGTTAGTAATCTAAAATGCAGCAGCTGTTACTCAGTGCTGTATAAAAGCATGGGATTCATTGTAATGGAGATCTTTTGAAAGAGATGTTACAGCATCCCCCTGAGCGCTGTTCTCTGGCGCTTTACCTGCAGCTCGCACAACTACTAACCCACCTCTTGAGGCTCTCCCATGGCTGGGTGTGGGGGGTGCTGCAGACTGAGTGCTTAAAGGGGGTCATATCTCATGTATTTGCTACCAAGTAAGGCGGTTTGCTCGTCTCGCGATACTTCCCTTGGCACTTACTGACTGGAGAGTCAGTGGTTCCAGAAGAGAAACCAGTGGAGGCCCCTGAGCTCATTGTTATTGGCTGTGAAACTTTTCAATAGGGATACTACCACGTGTTGCCCAGGAGGGGGTCACCGCTCCAGGAAGCACTGCAGTACCAGGCGATGCATGGAGGGGATGGAGCAAGCTCCGGTTCCACCTCCCAGGACCACAAACCTGCTCAGCACACAGCCTCCTATGGAGGACATATCAGATATTACAGCTGATAACAACAGGCCCTTTTTTTTTTCTTTTTTTTTTAGTTGGTAAAAATATATGTCTCTCTATCTGTCTATCTGTATATATAAGGTTATATATATCTACACAGTTTCTAGGGTCAGAAGGGACCTGAACTGATCATCAAGTCCAACCCCCTGCCCTGGGCAGGACTGAGTGCTGGGATCATAATACCCCAGCCAGATATCTATCCAACCTCCTCTTGAAGACCCCAAGGTAGGGGAGAGCACCACCACCCTTGGGAGCCCGTTCCAGAGCCTGGCAGCCCTGACCCTAAAGTAATGCCTCCTGCTATCGAGCCTGAGCCTGCTCTCAACCAATTTGTGTCCGTTATTCCTTGTTATCCCAGGTGGTGCCCGGGGGAACAGAGCCTCACCTATTTTCTGCTGGTCCCCCTTGGTGAGTTTAGAGATGGCCACCAGATCCCCTCTCAGTCTTCTCTTGTGGAGGCTGAATAGGTTCAGGCCCTTTTGCTTCTCTTCACAGGGCCTGTCCTGCTGCCCCCTGACCATGCGAGTTGTCCTCCTCTGGACCCTCTCAGTACTGGCCACATCCTTCTTGAAGTGCAGCACCCAGAACTGGACACAGTTCTCCAACTGCAGCCTGAACAGAGCCGCATAGAGGGGAAGGATCACCTCCCTGGACCTGCTTGTGATGCATCTGTAGATGCACAACAAGGAGTGGTTACCCTTACTGGCCACTTCCTCACATTGGTGGCTCATGTCGATCCTGGAGTCAATGACGACTCCAAGATCCCTTTCCGCAGGAAAGTGCTTGTATTGGGTCTAGCACCCATTGGAGGATCAGGCCTGTGTTTTCCAAGGTGTGCAGAGCCAGAAGTGAGTCCAGAGCCTTGGATGGTGGCAGCGGGAACCCCAGGCTAGCGGGTGTGCTCCGGGGAAGGGGTCGGCCGGACGGGAGGCACCCCAGGGAGGCACTCGGAGCCGGGAAGGTGGGCGGGAGCAGGGAGGTGGGCGGCTCAATGCAGGAGCGCCCCCTACTGGCCCCAGCCTATAGGTGTGTTGCTGGTTCCTTCTCCCTGCACTTGTCTGCATTGAATCTCATCCTATTCTCATCCCCCCACCTCTGCAACCTGTCCAGATCTAGCTGGATCCTGGTCCCTCCCCTCCAGCGTGCCCACCTCACCCCACAAAAGAAAATCACGACAAGGATGGGATTCGAACCCATGCATGCAGAGCACAATGGATTAGCAGTCCATCGCCTTAACCACTCGGCCACCTTGTCATGCTTTTTGTAAGTCATACCACAAAAGGAAAAACCTTTTCTGTTACAAAAAACTGCACCCGTGCACCTGTACAAAGGCCTGCTGATCACCCAAACCCGTTATAATATCCGCATCACGTGCAACACACACAAAACAACTAAGTCCATCCTGGTCCCTCAGACCAGGCCACACTTCCTTTCCACCCCTGCCCTGCTTGCGGGGTCACATACCCAGTTCAAGCTCCCTCTCCGTCGTTGGTGCGCTAGCTCCTGCTGGAAGACATGCTGCTGCCGTCTTGTGCCAAGAGGCTTTTATTGCTCAGCTGTGATAATAGTTGCAATTCATTCCTGAACAGTCTCCAGTTAACTGGACGATAATATCCGAGTGTTTATTTTTTGCACGTGACCTGGTAAGATGCCCACAGGACTGTCTTAACTTTATTCTCTTGCAAGCCCGAATCATGCCAATAAAGCTGGTGAAATGGTGTCCTTGACTTAGCAGAATGAATCTCTCTGAATCCCTGGGAAGTTTCTGCCTTTCTAAATGGCATGTCTTTTAGTGATTTCCAAAATGTCTTTCAGTTTTACTAGCCAAGCAAATGCAGTATTCTGCTGAAAGGGGCTGAGGCTCTCGGGCTGCATTTACAGAAATATCTAGGTACAGACTAGCACCTACTAAGTTTTGCAACAGTGCCTGAATAGGTTAAGTGTATCATTCTGCTTGGCATCAAGGCAGTTAGGTGCCTCACCTGTGCAGATGCACTTGCATGTGGTCCATGCTTGTCAGACCTTTTGCAAATCTCGCCCTGCAGGTAGCAGTGCTGCTGGAAGGTCTTGGGCCATTCCTGCAGTATTGAAGTGGCTGAGTCAGGTGCTGGATCACGAGAAGGGTTGGCCCTCACCAAACCACTGGTCATCAAAATCATGGGGGGCGGGGAGTGGAAAGAACAGTTTCAGTCAGTGCTTTAATGTTATTCGTGTGTGTGGCCCCTCATATTCCCTTATTGCTCCTTTGAGACTAGGCTTTGGATTTAGCACCAATGGATCCCCCTGCAGCGATTCACGGTGCAATTGTTTGTCTCTTTTCTCTTTCTTCCTCAGGGCGCGCTGGACAGGTGCTCTCCAATTCAGCCCAAGCTGATCTTCTCGGTTGAAGCTGTCGTTTACAACGGCAAAGCCCATAACCGCGCGGGGAAACTACCGAGCGTGGGCAAAGGTATTTCACTACGTCGCACGTGAACTCTCGCGGAGCTTGTTAGAAACCTCACGGGTAAAACACGAGGAAATGGAGCCCAGATTCGGCAACATTACTGAACCCTGAAGGTCACAGTCTGCTTGAGACCTAAGTGCCCGCGCAGAGGGATCCCGCAGGGTTTGGGGCGCAGGCTTGGAGCCCAGCGTAGAGCTGGCCTCTGGGTCCCTCCGCATCTTCCTGGACTCATGTTTAAGGGGAATAAATGGAGTTGAATTGCCATTATGTGTAAGCGAGCAAATCACGTACCCTGCTTAGGCTATGGGGAAGTCAAGAAGACAGGACCCAGAACCACCAGACTAACGCAGACTGGAACAATCCTGTCCTAGTCCAGTGAAAGTAGACACTTAATGTAAAAATAATTCTGGTTACAGGTTACATACTGGCCTGCTGAGTCAGCCCAGAACGGGAAGTAACCCTGTGGTTACAAGTCAGAAGAAACCCCCCCTAAACTAACACTGCTATACTAAAAATAAGTAGAAACATGCACATTACTAACAAAGTCATGGCAAATGCTGATTGGTATATGCTGTTGCTATGCTTATGATGTCATATTTTCTATACACACTCACCTCACCTATTGTACGGGGTCAGACCTCTTCACAATTCTCCAATTGTGTATGAGTCTGTCCAGAATGCATTCTCTAATAAACCAAGTTCTTTTTAACTTTGAGTAGTCTGTTCGTCTGAGCCTCCACCCAACGAACCGGGGACAAGTTTTCCCCTACAATATCCTCTCCACGCGAAGAAGGAGAAGGGAACTCGCTGTGGGAGGAACATGTTATATGTGTTTCTACTGGCCCGGCAGGTGAAGAGAGATGTTCATTTGGCCAAAATCCACTCTTGCTTATACCCAGGAAGCCTGAGGCTGTCTGGGGTTGTGTGGGCTCACTGGACAGCAAAACATGGCCCGTTGGAGAGATGATGATCAAGCACATGGTTATATTAAGCTGGCACAGTTTGGCACTGGTCCATGGACAAGCAGATAGGTGGGAGAAGAGAAAAGACCAAGCTATTTCCATTACCCAAGGCATGACATGACACAGGTCCACCAAGCAGAAAAGGGCATTCGCTTATAAAACTTAAATGAAATGAATAGCAATTTTCATACTTTGCTTCTCCCTCCTCTTCCCTCCCAGGACTTCCTGCTTTAACAAAAGTGGTGGTGATTGCATGCGTCTCCTCAAGGGAAACGAATGATATTTCTAAAACTTCCACCAGGTAATTGCATGACGGAAACGTCTTTGAGCAGCTGTTGCCCTGTTTCAAATACGGACTAGCTGGAGCCAGGAGCCGGGCAAGACTTTTCCAACTTCTGCCTCCTTGACTTCTGCCCCACTGTTACCAGATTTGCCCATCACTTTGGAGTGTACTCATTTATTAAGGATATGTTTCTAGGGTCTTGGTGATTCTGTCAATGTGCTGCTTGTGTTACTATACGGAGCTGTATATCTCCCTTCTGCAAGTCCTCACCCCACTGAAGCTATCTTGCAGGACTCAGTTTCAATGGGGCTGGGTTCCTCCAGTCCCCAAATTAGTCATACACACAAACACACACAAATTAACGTGACACGCCTGACCCGGCCGGGTTGATCAGCATGGACAGGCTGACACCCTCATATGCCAGGAATCAGTTCATCAGAGCAACAATAAACCGCAGTCGGACACAAGCACACAGGCAAACAGAATCCCTCTGAATCCAGCTGGGTGTCCAGCTGACACCCTCATGGGCCAGCATTCAGTCCATAAGGGCACGTCTGAGTCAAACTGGGTCAGTCAGCCTGTACAAGCTGATCCCCTTATGTGTTTCAAACTCAGCACGTCCCAATCTTTGGCCTCTTGATGAGCAGACCCCACAGTATTTCTGGACTTCACAGGGATCTTTAGCTTAGGTAAAAGAAGTGTTGCTGCAGAGCAAGTGGGGAAGGAAAGTAGAGAAGGAAAAATACACCCAGTTACTACCAGTTTGACTACAAAAGTTATTTATTGGTAAGTATATGAAATATATAATGGTACCAGTAGTAATAGACATGCAAAGGAAAACAGACACAATTACAATACTACCCTGGTTTCACTAAGTGTTTGGGGAAACTTAGCTCAAATTTAACTAGTACAGTTCAGGTTCAAAAATCTATGCCTAGAGAGAAAAGAGAAAAGAGAGAGAGCGAGAGCGAGAGCTGGGGTCCTGCCAGTCCAAGGCACTCGGGTTGTTTGTTGACAGGTAAAGTTCTCAGCACGATCCTTGAAGGGAGATGATCTGTTTCTTCCAGCTTCTTGGGAATAGCAGCGGATGGTGTCAGAGAGATTTCTCCTCTTGAAGCACACACACACATTGTTGCTTTTTTTACAGATTTTTATACCCTCAGTTCAGCTTCTTCAAAGCATTCTCAGTAGTGTAAATCATTGTCTTGTCTACTGACAAGGGGTTATCTGGTTTGGAACATCTCAAGAAACTGATTGATAACCAGGAAATTTCCAGACATTACTATAGTCTTTTAACAGACTTAAAGCAACAATTGAAGCATTCATAACCTTTAAAGAGAGAGGACTTCCACCAGTCATCCC